GTTGATCTTCTTCTGCCCTGCAGGGATTTTCGCTCCAGTTTCAAAGATTTCCAAATCTGTGGACCAGACGCCTTCATCAGTCACCTCCACCCCAAGAACACCCCGCATGGATCTGGCCTCCCGCCTCGCAGGAAAGACCAAGAAGGAGAAAGAGAAGAAGGAGAAAGAGCGAGAGAAAGGTAACCGAGCTACAATCTTTGCTAATAGCTTCATTCGATTACGTTTATCTGTGCTTCTCATCAGTTTCGTTCTGCATTCTCAGCCCAGAAGAAGAAGGCTTCAGTAGCCAGTCTGGATCCAGAGGGAATGAATGTGGAAGTCGGAGATCAGGTTCTGGTGGCCGGACAGAAGCACGGCATCGTTCGTTACTTTGGCAAGACAGACTTTGCTCCAGGTGCGTTTGCTGATCCTCAGTCTGTGTCTGTCCTTCTCCAGTCCTGAGAAACTTTGCACTAATCCTGCAGAAATGCTTATCAGCTTAAAGAAAGCTTTGAAAGCAGAGACAGAGCAGCTGTGACCGGATCTGTGTCCCTGCAGGTTACTGGTTCGGTATCGAGCTGGACCAGCCCACAGGGAAACACGACGGCTCGGTGTTTGGGGTCCGCTACTTCAGCTGCCTGCCCAAATATGGAGTGTTTGCTCCGCCCTCCCGTGTCCAGAGGTGAGGATATGATAAATGAGAATGGAGAGATTATCAGCTTCAGGATTAATTAGCTCAGAAGTTCTTCCAATGTTGGAAATGAAAAAGATTAAATATCTGAAAAAACTGAAAATACAGCAGAGCATTAAAAGCTGTGGAAGCTTGGCAGGAAGTGAAGCTTCCACGTAACCAGGACGATGTGACGTTAAGCCTTTTTAAAATGTTTGATTCCTGAGCGACGCCTTAAAAGTCACCGATAAACACTGTTGTTGTCAGAATCGGAGGCCCTAAGGACGGCTCACAGAACGACAGCTCCGCGGTGAAGAAGGTCCACCAGATCACCAGTAAGTGTTTTATTATTATTCTTTACCCCTGAAACCGTATTTGTCTCCTTGTTCTAACAAACCGTTGTGTGCTTGTGCGCTGCAGTGTCACAGCCGAAGCGTAACTTCAACACGATGCGTTCTCCTAAAGACCTCACATCTGAGAGCTCCATATCCAGGTCAGCCCTGCTCCGTCACATTACCCACAGGCCTGCGCTCTTTGCTGTTCGGCTTTCTTGGACTTTTTGACAAGAGGAAATTTTGGAAACGGTTCAATTTGAGCTTTTAAAAGAAAAGCAAAATCAAACTGTTTTCTCATTTTTATCAAAAGTCCAAATAAGTCCAGCAGAGCAGGCAGGATTTGCTCAGACTTACTGAACCCTGCTCTTCCTCCTCCTCCTCCTCGTCTCCTGCAGGCTGCTCTTCTGTTGTTGGTTTCCGTGGATGCTGCGCGCTGAGATGCAGTCCTAACTACGCCTTCCTCTTCTCTCTTCTACTCCACCACCAGATCAGTCTCTCCGCTGTACTTACTCTCCATCTTCTGCTTTCACCGACTTTCGCCGTCGTCAGTCAAACTTCTCGTGGTGACCCCGCCCCCCTCCTCTCTTAATCTCAGCCCAGAACCTCCTAATTTAGCCGTTCTATAGCAAAATCTATAGTGCCTTGTATCTGATCAAAACGTTCCGCATTCCTTTGAAGAAACCGAGAATCTGATTCCTCCAAAAAACCCAACCTTTCACGTCTTATCACCTCATCGTCCCAGCTCGGTATCTGTCCGTGTTGTGCTGTCATTCGGGGCCTAACAACAACCACAAAACGTTCGTTTGTGCTGCTACATGCTTTTGTTTTTGCTGCTACTAGTTTTGGGTCTTAAACAGATTTTCTCATTAATGCCAAGCTCGGCACAAGCTAGCTCAAACGTGGACAATAATGCAGATATTTCATCCTGTGCTTTGTGGTTTGGCAGATGTGTTTGTTAAATTCTCAGACGCTTTCTGCGTAAATGAACAAGAGCAGCGCACGAGAGTTTGTGCAAAATAAAGTTTGTCTGCTCGTCTGAGACCAAGAACCTCTGCCTTCTCCGCTTGAGTTAAGATGTAAAAATCCCGAGTGCATGGAGGGAAAATCCCAGAAAACATCCCGACTCCAAACTGTTTGAAACTCAGAAGTGAAAACAGCCTTAACAGCTGCTGGTTTTTACTTGAACACAGCCAATAATTGTCTGTAGGAGACTAATTTTCCACTGCAGATGTGTGAGATAAGTAAGTGGTTCTTGGCCTCCGGGTTGACTCGCTGTATGTGGAGGATGCTAACATTTAATAACAAGCTTTAGCTTTAGCTTTAATTTACATTTCCAGCGATCCTGACCACAAAGAACAGCTGGATTCGATGTTTATCCTGCTGTTTGTCAGCCGTTAATCTTTAATCTTTTGCAAACGTCTGGCAGGAAATGCAACAAACATTTTCACCACAAGGTGGCAGCGTTTCATCTGAGCTCCAGTGTAGTTTTCCACCAGCGCTACAGTCGTCTGCATGCACAGAACAATTTTTGTGCTCCAACTGAATAAAATAAGTCTGATTAGCAACATTTGTACGAATGTTGAGCTAATTTTAGAATTTCTCATGAGCAGTTTAGGTCCACCTGGTGGTCGACAGAGGTATTACATCAATTTGCATCTGCAACATAAATGTCTTTGACATAAAGGCGTAAGCTGGTTTATTTTTTGAAGGATTGAATCCGCTTTTGTCCAAGAATTCTTTACAAAAAGTACCTTTGATTATAGTCGCTGCTAATCAGCGTACTGCCAAATACTCGGACTTTAACACTAATAACAGGCTCCAGTTGTAATCTGTTAACCGTAAACTGCTAACTGACCCAAACCGTTGACGTTTCCGGCCCCATTTCATGAGACTGTCATGTCTTTATGTTGCCTCTGAACGCTTCAGTTCCAGCTAAATGTGATGTCCAGTCCATCCAGGGTTGAATATGTCTTTGTAATATTAAGTGTCCCTTCATCAGCACCTCCATTTCGAGGTTTTTAATGACCTTTACTTAGAAGTTTAACCCCTAAACGAGCTCCAGAGTCCAAATCTTTGACCTTCCTCTGACCCTCCTCTCTCGCTCCTCTCTCTCCATTTAAATAAGACTTTGGTATCTTTTGTGAATGTGAGCAAAGAAAAACACAAGCTAACCTAAATGTGTGCTTAATGGTAAATCTCTGCATAACTGAGAAACAGCAATATGTAACCAGTGTACCTATCTCTGTGTGGAAACGTTTCCTGTGTTAATGTCTCGTTACACTCTGTGAGCACTCGATACAGAGAGATGAACACACTCGCGCTCGGACGGCCGAGGCTGCCGGGGCGAGCCCAGAGAATAACCGGACAAGCGAAGGGATGAAATCCATCCTCAGTTTGGATCCAAGTCGCTCAAGTGGAAAGTGACCCAACAGATAATCATGTCAACAGATTATTCTGTTATCTGATTCTTGGACGGAGCTCAGATCTCACGAACAAGCCCGGGGAGATTTGGTAACTTGTTTCCAGAGATGTGAAACTTTAAATTATGAGAATTATGAAATATGACCAACCACCTGCAAACACTGGTTGAAGGTCATTTTAGAGAATGAAGAGGTCGTTAAGAGCCTCTCAGGCGGGGCTTGCCAGTTTTTCTCTCCGTGTGCTCTGCAGCCTCGGCAAAAGGAGACATTTGTGGTTGCTCGTGCACACTGCTGTGGATAATGTCCTGTTTGTGCCCGTGGAATCAGCTTCAACATTATACCAAGGAGAAGTGCAGTGCTTTTGCTTTTCCACTCACCGGGCGCTCAGTTTAACTCAGTCAGCTGCAGGATTTAGTCCATATGGTCACAAACCTTTCATTCCTGCGTGAACTTGACCTGAGCCTCGCCTCTGAATGACTTAACCAGCGCCGTGTCAGCCAGACGAGCGGTAGGTTGAGTCACGTCGCGTTCGCCACGGACACAAACTGGTGTCCTGGTAGGACTGTAGTTCATTTAAGCTGCTTTAAGGATGTCCTGAAATCATCATGGATGAGACGAACACAAAAAGTCAGTCCTGCATCCATCGAGTTGTTGGAACCAAAACTGTCCCGAGAAGCAGCTTTTTGAAAACTGCGAGTAGACGTTCGAGCGATGTGCAGACGAGTTACTGCTTTACCTTCACAAATAAATATCACAGCCCAAACAAGCCAGACGAACCCAAGTCAGTCCACGTGTTGTGTTTGCATCTGTTTATAGTTTCACACTGGAAATTCATCGCTACGAGTCAGCTGTCGTAGCACGGCGTTCGATGCTGAAGCTCCACCCAGTCGGGCGAGCATCAGTGGACCGCAGTGATGGTGGAGGTTTGTCTTTGTACAGTAAACGTACAGTAACAGTACAGTCGATATGTCGGTTTGAACGTAGCGTGCTGTGTAGATGTGGAGCTTTCCCTGGTTTGGCCACTGAGCGTCACCAGTTATTAATCTCACGCTAAAGGAAGCGTTACAGACGTTTTTATCACGACTTTGGTTTCTGTATCTAAGGCCGCTGAACTCCTTTTGCCTGATTTAACTACAAACTCTCACTTTGTCGTTTTTGTTGGTTGGATTTAAAAATGGTTTTACTTTAAGATTGGTTTCCTTACTTTGAGGCAGCAGGAATGTTTGAAATTTTGCATCCTTGTCGAGATTCAGCCGATGAAACTCCGTCACGTCGTCGCCATCATCTTCTCCTAATCCAAACCAAAATGTGACTGTAAATTAAAAATGTTCTAGAAAAGTTTCCACTTTTTGGTTTCAAATGAAAATCCTGTTTGATGCCTTCATCGCCCACGTTGGCTTCGTTTCTCCACACGTCAACAAGATGAGGTGAAGTTAAACATATGTA